GCCACGGCCGGACCTTCGCCCTGGGGCATGGGCAGCGCCAGGCACTGCGGGGAACACTGATGGGCATCGCTGGTAGGAAATCCCTCTGCTGCACTGTTCCTGGCACGTTTAGAGCTGCGAGTCCTCCATGCAACGAATCACATCTGGTTATACTCACGTGCCAAAAAAGACATTTTTAAACTGCAGAGAAAAGATAACACTGCTGGCAATTCTGGCTGCCAGCACGACCCACGGTGTGGCAGTGGGAATCAGAAAATGGCAGGAACATCACACGGGTTTTCTCAGTATTAAAAAGTGTTGCCCGCTTTTTTTGGGAATTGGCTGCACAGGGGAGGAAGGCTGCAGGATCCGGATCCTCCCTCTGGCTGTGGCTGAAGCCACAGAAACATGACTGTATAATTACACTATATGATTAAATAACACTTCTGACAGCATTGTCAACTTTAAGATATTATAATGTTCCAACTATAGTCAACAACTGTAAGAACATTATCGGACAGCTTTTCTCTAAACCTTTGCAGACAAGCTGTAACACTTCTGCTCATCAGCTTAACTGAGAGCACTAAGCTCCTCATCCTGAACTCCTACCCCAAAAGCTGTACAAAGCCAGGAACCAGGTTTTGTAGAGAGATGAAGATGAGTAACTTCACAAAATACAGCATTCAACTGAACCATACCAAGATGTAGGCACCATAATGCAGTTTCTACACATTCAGAGTCAGGTTCACATACTCAAAGGGCCAGTGCCAACTTCTGCCCTGTCCAATATACTCTGAGATGCTGCATATAAGCAGGGGAAACTTGGAGGCTTTTAAGATGAAAGTATTTGAAGTATTTTTGACATTTTGTGTTATTTTACAAGCTAGTGTGAGAGGTCAGAGTCCATTGACAAAAGCGGAGAACAATCTAGGAAGATAAAGGAAGATTTCCACTGCTTGTTCTACAGAGTATTCGGTTTACTACTAAAAAGATTCAAGGAAAAGAATGGCTTAAACTGAAATGAGCACTCTGGCTACCAGGGATATAGCTACACTGGCATCTGAGGACATGTCTTCATGGCAGACTAGCTTAGTTGGCTTTAAAAAGGTTTAAAACTTGGGTACCACAACCATCTGATCAAATCAACATGAAGTTGACTTGCTAAGCTAACTTAGCAACTTCGGTTGCTAAGTGTATCTTCTTGACAGCAAGTAAGGCTAGTTATAATCAATGCAGCATCAGCATCACTGTCTGCACAGGAACATGGGGATTGCTTATGGCCACATAAAATGAACAGTTTTGTGTTAAGATGTAACCCGAGCTTCTCTTCTGCAAACACATGTATTCCTGCTCACAGGAATCCCAAGCGCTTCAAAAACAATACCGGGGGGGATTAGTTTTCTTGAGGGATCCATGACTAAATGTGCCCTTGATAACTTCTGATCCCGTTTTCCATTTGCCTTACCTGATTATCAGTGTTGTTTACAGTAAAATATCCCACACAAATAATGACTTCGTGGAGCAATCCTTCACAGGTATTCTGGGAACAGTACCACAGCAGAGAGCTGATAATATGCCGGAATGCAAGGGACAGGCCTTCGGCACCCACAATAGACTGGAAAAAAGGTCAGAAATTACAGTCAGGCAGCACGTTACAGAAACTGTGTGAATGACAGGTACATCCATCACACCCGGTTACTGGTTTTTGTGAAGTACACGCTGTGTTCTCTGTTGCGATGACTTTGGAGGAGGACAGAGCCAGCTCTTTCCTGTCATTACCGTTTACAACTGGACTGTAACATTAAAAGCCCCCAAATAAAGTATAAATTCAAATTTTAAAGGAACACAGGAAAAGCTGGATTCTGCTTAGCTGACATTCTGTGTGGCAGAAGGTTGACGGCTTCATTTGACGTACACGTTCCAGTAAAACTTAATGCTAATGATATTTCTTAGTAATAAGCAGAAGAAACCAAACCACCTCCATTTCTTCAAAAGAGCAAAATACACTTCTCATTAGGAACTCGCACTCTAAAGATTAACAACAAATAATGGCTTTTCAAACATGTAAAAAAAAAGTTAGAAACATCCGAAAGGAGAGAACACTCAGCTGCAAAGCTTCTTGGGATGCTTTTAAAAAGTAGGCAAATTGCTGTAACGTGGAGATTCAGAATTAGATTTTATCTGCGCAGCCTACAGCCTCTATTTAATAAACATGTCAAACAGACAGAACGACACAGGGTCAAAGGGGAAAAGCAAAGCACAAGCAATGAGCATGACAGTCTACCAGCTCTAATAAAACAGCAATGCAGGCCTGTGAAAAAGTCTTTCATTTGAGAGTTTTCTTGATTTTATACCTTGTAGCCTGTGGTAAGTACATATACATAAATGCCACAGGTAGTATAGTTTAGTTTCAGCATACTCCCAATCCAGCCAGCAAAAGCAATTCTGAGACTCAGCTGTGGGTACTTCCTATCTTGAACCTCAAGTGTTCTAGGAAGTCGGTGTATTCTCAAAATTTAATGCATAATACAGCCCCCATTTACTGCTTTCCATCGTGGAAGTACCATGCTCTTAGTTCCACCCGTATTTAATTAGTGCTGTCCACGCATGCTGTGACCTAGCACTCCGGATTTAACCTTTCCCGATAACAAGAGGCCAAGGGGCACCTGAGTTTGTGTATAAAAGTTAAACTAATTTTTCAAGGAAACTATGCTTCCTTTTTAGCTAGAATTTATCTGCTCAGGATCCTGCATTGTTTCTCACTACCATCTTGCAATTGTTTAGACTGTCAAATTAAATGAAATATATACCCATGAGCCATCTGGGCTAATACAAACTCTAGAATACCAGACCGCTTCTGTTAATCAAAAAACCCCTATAGTCCTACTATTACGTGATAAAACTATTCCATGTAGATAATAATCAGATGGTACATAAACGACGCTTTTCCCCTCTGCTACCCTGATATGGCCCACAAGGTCAGAATGGACAGCAAACTGCCGTAGGTCTATGTTGATTCTTTAACATTAAAGAAACAAATCACATTAATACACTGAAAGGGATAGCTGCACACGTGTGCCTGCAATTCAGAACAGCTCAGCAGGTAATTCCTGCGCCCTGCACTGACCAACTGAAATCAGTCACACTGGTTGGTTTTCTAACACCCCCTGTGCAATAATTACTATCCTATAGAATCGCAGACTGGTTTGAGTTGGAAAGGACCTTAAGATCATCTAGTTCCAAACCCCCTGCCATGGGCAGGGAAACCTCCCACAGTCCTGCACCATTTTATGTAGAACAAATTACTGCAGATCATGGCATTTGGGAATTAATGCTGATGGTCTGTTATAAATGCTCAGATACAACGGTAGTTGGTAGGTAAATACAGACAGCCTAAGTAGGAGCTTATATTTTAAAAATTAATAGTGGTTTCTTGGGGTATTTAGGAGCAGCACTTCAGCCAGTGCCATTTGCTATAGCTCCCTACAAGCTGTAACTGTCCCACTGCAAGTCTTACTCTCTGGTACGTATCTGTAGTATTGACAGCAACAAATAAACATCCAGTCTCAAACCAAGAGGTACTGAACAAGCTGTAGAAGAGAACTACTTTGATACACCTTGATTTACAGAACGAAATGGGAGTTAATGGTGTGTGTAAGAGTTTTTTTACATGAAACTCCGATAAATATACTCTTTCTGTGCTCTTCTGAATGAAAACCACTGACTGGACTGGATCCTGCAACTGCATCCATACAGATGAACACTGCTACATGCAAACTGTTTGTTGCTGTTATTAGAGATACTAAATGTACTAAAAATCAAAGTCAAGAAATACAAACTCAAAGAGGCTTATACCTTACATTAAATTCTTTACTCATGCAAAGCACTTGCTGAATTTAATGCATTTCAGATGGAGTGTGTGGTACAACTTACAAAAATTATACAGTAAATGAAACAGAATCCTCTTCTGATGCATTGTGTAAGTCTGATGCTGCTAAACATGCTTTGCAAAGCAATGCTTTTTGGCAGGTATTTTATCCTAACAACACAACAGCTTTTCCAGTTTACCTGAGAAATACACTAGCATTTGTATTTTCTTTGTATGCCAAAATGACTCATTTACACTAGAAATCTGCTCACAGAAGAAGGTATGGAAAAGACTTAACCTTCTCCAGACTCAAAATGTGATCTTTTTGGATTATTTTATTTTTTTTGTGAATAAAAAATTATGAAAAGTTTAATTTCCACTTTTTGGGCAATAACATAATATTTATATTCATACTTTTAATATTTACATTTGTATTTCTATAGGGTTATATTTATATCTATATTTATATATTAAAATCATACCAAGTGATTTTCAGTTTCACTCATATAATCTTAAAGCAAGTGGCCACTAAAAGCACTGACAAATGTAGATTCCACTGAAAGCACAGACAAATATAAACTGTGGTTATAATATAAGCAAGTCTTTTCACATTAGAAAAACTGTTATTTTGTGGTTCTGACCAAGACTTTTTTTTTACATTTTTGGGGTTTATTAAATATAGGAAGTCCTATGCTGAAAGTGAGGGGGTTTTAATGCAAGCAGTAATGGACTGGACTCAGCATTTCACATATTCCAGCTTTTCACTTTCTGGTTACATCTCTTGGCCATACCTATACGCTGGAAATAACAACAGTTACCCATTTTATGAATGAAGAAAACCTGAACATTTAATCGGGAAATTTCCTAACTTTAACTAAGATCTTAAAGACAAAACATTTTCACCCCAAGCCAAAGTTTTAAATCACCTTACCTGAAAGGCAGGCAGATCAAGAACAGCAAAGCTATTGAAGAAACGTAAACTCTGAATGGCAACCTGGACTGTGTTCGCTGCATAGCTGTCTTTAGGGCTGGCTGTGTTTGGATCTGAAATTGTCCCGTGGAAAAGAACACAGTACAGCATATGCAAGACTCCAACCAGATCTGTAGACTGGAGAACTGCCGTTAGTCCTGTGGGGTCCTGACGTGTACTGTCAAATATGCTCCAAGATCTGTCAAAGAGACATTAAGGCATCTGAGGAGAAGACCAGCACTCAGCAAGAACACTTGCCTGGGATGCAGTGTTTCTAGTAAGCCAAATGTCAGAAAACCAGTAAACTGTTAAACAGGAAAAAATCCTGTCCAATATGTCAAGAAACCACATTTCCAGAAAATACTTCCAATAACGTGGACACTGCCTCATGCTCTCTTCACTTGCAGTGCAGCTGCAGCTTCAAATATCTTTCTCCACATACCAGTGTCTTCGCTCCCAGAAATCGGCTAAGGATATGAGCATGAGAGCATGCAGAAATTCAACAAGTTGGAAGCTGGAAGGCTGGGGGCACTTTAGGGGCTCCATGTGAACTGCCTCAGGTCAGTAGCCTACTCCCAACTTGCTTTCCTACCAGAGCAGACAAGAGGAGGTGGGAGAACTCCCTGGAACCTCTCACCGCCTCAGTGACAGGCTGCAGGCACTGGAATGAACTGCCTACCCAGGTAGCAAAATAAGTTACCAGGACCAGATGATCCTCATCAAATAGTTCTGCAGAAATGTAAGAATTAAGTGGTTGAGCAGTTCACAAAACACACTGCTGCTTATTTCAGTCAGATGTTATTACGGAAGACTGCAGGGAAGCAAAGCATAAATAAGTACGAAACACTCAAGACAAAGCAACACAGCTCGTGCAAATGGAAACCATGTTTCTTTGGTATTTTTGGGGTATGCACGTAAAATAATGGAGGTTTTTGACTATCTGTGGTATCAGGACAGACAGACAAATATCTCACTACGCCCTTTCCATTCTCACATCCAAACTTTCAAAAGCACTTCACATAATCTCTCATGATTTGTACTGTATTTTTTCACATTACTAATAATCCAGAAGATGATCCAGGATAATCATTGCTAAGGAAGACTAAGATGTCACTACTCTGGAGGTTAATAATGTTCTAGCCATCATCATCTTGTTCTGGTGTTTCTCTTTTTCTAGTGCAGCAAAAAAAAAAGCAGGTGAGAAAAGCACAACCTCACCCAAAAGCAATGGCCAGATGAGAGTGTCTATTTGGAACAGCATGCCATTGCCTCCTTGGACCAAAGGGAGAGAGAGAAATAGGCAGAGCAGGACAATGAACCTGCATTCTCCATGTCTCAGAGAAGGCCTGGGTACTGGGCTAACTTCAGCTATATATAGCTTCAATATTTTAGGAGAAGAAGGAAGAAGAGTTACGTGAAACCCACAAACTTGAAAGCTAGCATCTATGTGTTTTCTTGTGGATACAGTTCTTGTAAGGTAGCATGAGTAGGTGCTAAAACCACGAGCAAGGCTGATAACCAGGGTCTTTCTGACACCAGACCGTCATTGTGCTCCCGAGCAGGGACCCCTGAGCAGCTGAGCCAACCAAATTCCTACCAGTCCTTAAAGAAACTGTGCCACAAATCCAGCCATGACGGCGCTTCGGAAGGCCACTGGCATAGGATTCTCTCCAAACACATGTAATAACATTCAAAAGAAAAGCTGAAGATCATTAAAATTACGTTTTCATGCCACTTAACCTACTGCAAAAGACCCACCACAAACATTTTCTGATGGTTCATAACACTCGTAACAACCCCAACATTTACTCTGTAAGAATAAGAACCTGGAAAAAACACTGGAGCTCTGAGTGTGTTTTGGTGGGGCCACGCTGCACAACAATTTATGGCATGACTTTCCTTTTCCTACGCCTGGAATCTGTGCCCAAAATCTTTGTTTTGAAGCTCTGTGGTCTTTAAGCGAGTGCATTTGAATGGAGTCAGCAGACACTTCCTGAGCCGTCACCTGCCCTTGCCAGCCATGCCTTTGTGCAGATTCCTGCTCCATGGCTTCAAGTCCTGTTGGCACTTGAGCCTGGCTGCAAGTGAGGGATGAACCAGGAGGGTGAGCTAACAGCTCTGGGACCACCATTTTAACAACTTTGCTTTGAGTGTCTGTGGACTCCTTAGTATTCCTCACTTTAAAGTACCTTCTGACGTCCAGTTATTTACTGTGCAGTAGCCAAAACGTGCTCACCATCACTTCGCTACGCTCAAGTAACTACAATATTTCATTTCCACAGTATCCCACGAGAGCACAGATCGTTTTGCCAACCAGTACCTCCTAATTTCCATCTTCGCTTTTTCAACAGTACAAAACAGGAAGAAAAACCCGTGCTCATGGTCAAACGATAACGCCAACTTAATTACTGTGTATGCTATCTCACAGACTTTTCTGTGACTACATGCAATGAGAACACTGACCAATTTTACCAAAGGTTAAAGTTAGCTTCCTTGCAACTCTCACTCCATCATTACTTTTAAACAATTCCATATGAAAAAGCTTACATTGCTGGATGAAATCCTTTTGCCATTTTGTGCTGCTCTGGAGCAGTGAATGAATCAAAATATACATTAAAAAGTCAGTGGGAAAATAACTCAAAATGCAAGCATTATTTTTTCACAGAAGAGGCCAAGAATTTGTAAGTTATACCACAGGACAAAGCTGTTCAACAAAAAAACCTGTCTGCTGGGTTTGGTGGATTGAAGGAACTGTTAGAACTGTTTTTTATGTTGCCTGTATCACAGTTAATGTGGATACGAAGAGGCCGCTGGATCCTGTTGGTTTTAACTGTCAGTTATAATCGCTTTAAGCCTAAATGTTTACAATAAAAAGGTAAAAGACGTTATTCATACTGGTTGGGGGCTTTAAAGTAGAAAAAACTGTGTATGAGATGATGGAAAATAAAGCATGAACCTTTGTGTATGCTGCTCTCAGTGATTCTGTACAACAGTGAATTTCACTGAATCACAGAATACTCTGGGTTGGAAGGGACCTTCAAAGGTCAGGTTGTCCAACTCCCAAATCCATTTAGCAGATGCCATTCATGCATTTAGCAGATTTTTTAGCCCACCTCAAAGGTAAAGCCCAGTGAAAATTCAGTTCTTTCAGGGCATAGACTGAAATAAAAACCCATAAACCCTCTTAATATTGTAAGATGACAATGCAAGAAACACCGGTTTTACGTAAGTAAAGAGAGGAGATTTCTATACACGTGCCTCCTTCCAACTCTCCTATTTAAAGCAGCTCATTCTCTGTGCCTGTAGCAGCTGCCAAAGTAAAGTAGTCAGGATGGACAAAACCCCTTCAATGAATCACCGAAGGGAAGCAAGACTTACTGGATTTTTTACATTGGCTTATAGAGCTAGGAAAACAGACAGGCTTTCAAACTTCACTAACTCTCTATATTTAACACAGAAAAACAGGCAAATATTTATATTAGGCTCAAACAACCTGCAGGATCTTAAGAAGGAAAGCTTCCTGAAATGCAGGGCGGTTTCATTATGGGTTGCCATTATGATTTTCAGCTTCTACCACCAAGGAGACTCAGGAAGGGGTAAGGGGTTTATGTCTTACAGTGAAAAGTTTAAGAACTTTAAAATGTGGATATATCTATCACAGGCAAAGAAAGATGCTGAACAGTGGCACTTCAATGCTTAAAATACACCATCATTTATTAAAAATAGGAACTCAATACCCGCTGATGAGAAACAGCATACTCTGCAGAACAAGTATAAAACCAGAATTTCTCCAAGCTTCAATAGGAGCAAACTGTTTATATCTGAAAATATATTGTTTTAAAAACTGACTGAGCTAACAAGTAGACAAGCCTCTCTAAGGGTATACGTTATCATGTTTGTATATTTGACATATATACTCCTGATTAAAAACATGGAGCCAAATGGAAACAGGAATTTTCAAAAGGCTTAGAATATAATCTGGTTGGGTTTTTTCTTATTTGGATTTAAAACCTCTCATCTCTTTGCTTCTAAATTATTTTACCTAGAAAGAGATGTCAAAATAAAGAGGCAAAATAATAATAAAAGGAGTATAAAGAAGTATTTAGCACCTGTCAGACCTCGTTGTAATTCCCATTGCCAAGCTCAGAATCCTGCGACTGTGGAAAAGTCATGACTGGAAACCTTCAGGATCAGGTTTTACTTTGTTTACTGAGCTCCTAACAGCCCTTAAAGAGTTACAACATTCAAAAGCCAAGCTGATGGAAAGTGATTATTAAAAATGACGATTTGATGCTGGATCTGCTGTCCCTTGGAACAGGGGAGAAGCAGAGCCAGGGTTTAGGCAGACATGCATCTGATTCTTCATCCAGCAGCCAAAACAGACATTATCTTAATTACTGTAATAAAACTGAAAACAGCCTACTTCCTTGCATATCTATGACACGACAGCTACTATTTTCCTGGATCAAACCCTATATATCTGCAGCTTTCTGCCACTGCAGCTTGTATCCACAACTTCATTAGCTGTTGACACAGGTTTATATGTATTCCACCCCTGTTTTGACATAACATGTAACGGGAACAATTTACTTACTGTACTGCTATGACACTCGATTTTCTTAGATTAAGGAGGGAGCTTGCAAATATTTCTCACATCAAGAAAACAGCAAAATTCTGACAAAGTTGCTGTCCCAAGAAGCTGCATAATTTGAGGGACATTTGAGCTACATTATTTGCATTATTCTCCTTCCACACAACTCATTTTTCTCCTGTGTCTGTGTTATTGCTAGTCCACTGTACTGTTCTTCGGGAGAACATTCTTCCTTAGTGATTAACCCTTACACTGCACTACCAATAGTTACCTCCTGCTGTTTGCATTAACCCTGTGGTTGGATGGATTTCTTCATACTAACTGGCAAAAGCAAAATAAGGCATTAACTATAGCCCTCCACAGAGTAACGACTACACTTCTTGGACAGAAATCTTAGTTCCAGAGACGTAGAGGAGGAAAAAGAGATGTAGAGTTGATGAACACTGGGCAGTACAGGAGAAGACAGGAACATAAGCAGCACCCTTGCTATGCCGATGAAGGACTTGCCGTACAGTTTCTTACTTAGTCTCCACTCCTGCTATTAGGAAAGGGTGAGCTGGGACAGCATGGCTGTATTTTTATTAATGCTCCTTGCATTCTGTGCCTGCTCATTGTTTTCTGTCTTGTGGTTACAAGCCAAGCATGCTTCACATGTGTACTCAGGACTCAGGGGCCCCAAACAGGCCTTATATTGCTCAGTTAGAATAATAAACTCTGGAAAACAAGGCTCTCATCCTGAACATTGCTACTGGGCATCTGGAATTGGATACAAATTGCAAGGCAAATTTATATGGCTATATAAACCCCGTTATTCTGTATAGAGTCTATTTAGTATTTTGCTTTATTTCAGGTTATATATATCTGTTTTCAATTCTGGCTGTTACTCTTAATGGTAAGCAAAAAACAGTTAAGCATTACCATGGCCACAATCTTCAAACCTAAGGATCAAATGTCAGCTTCATCTTTTGCTCAGAAAACAGACAGCTCGATATTCAGCATTTTATAATTTCTCACTACATACAACAAGGGACAATACTCTATTTTCAGCTCTCACATACTTTTATGTAACAGATGAGGGTATAAAAACTATCAAAACAAGGTTCACATGGCATTAAAAGTTATTAATGTTTTCACCAAATAATTTTTTATACATATTACATGGTGTTTGGAAAATGTGCTATTACATCCATAGCAAAACTTCAATTAAAAGAATCAATCTAGCATTTATTAGCCAGTACAAAAAATGATTATTTGAGAAGATCAATATCAAAGTTAAATCTTTTTAAAGACCTCGAACATTAATGAAAAGAAAATCTCTCCCTTATAATATGTTTATAACGTATGTTCAGAATGGATTCCCTCTTTTCAATAACTTTTTATGATGTTAAAATTGAAAATCCTCCAATTTATGTTTCTACATTAGCAAGACTTCCCTTTATTATATCTAAGTCCATGATTTTGGATTTTTTTTCCACGTCTACCACGGGAATAAAGAAAGTATCTCAGTTTATATCTTAAAATTTTATCATCTACATTACATCAGTCATAGACCTCATTTAATTCTTAGTGCTGAGATACACGTATGATACAATGTGAGTCTATGTTGTGACATCTTGCTTGATGTAGAGGTACATGCAGGGAGGTATTTCTCTGAGATCTCCTCCCTGCCTATAAAATTGTTTTCCATGAAATAACTGTCCAAATAAGCACTGGGTATCAATTCAGAGCTTGGCTTAGAAACATCCTGCTAAATTTGGGCGTTTAATGAAACGTTCCTGTGAGGAAGACAGGAAAGTCTAGGCTGGCAGCTCTACTTCAGAGCTGCAGAAATGGCCTAACATAATTTGTACCCACAGGAGAGGATCTCTTGTTTAAAACCGGAGTTAGAGTGTTTAACTTCTGGCCCTCCAGGGATATCACAGATTACAGCTGCAGTCAAGTTCACAGCAGCCTGGTGGTGTCTGAGAGCAGAAGAGGAAGATCACGCAGTGCCTGCCCATTTCCAGCTCATAATGGATTTCATTGTTGCAGGCACTCTCTGTTGGAGGGCCCTGAGGTGGTCCCCGTGCGTTAGCCACCAGCATATACTGTCCTATCAGCTTCCCACTGTGCCCCTCAGCAGCACAGCAGGCCAAGGTCTGCACACAGTATAAAGAGCAGTGTATAAAAATGGAATGACAACTTTTTAGATGACAAGTAACAGCCTGCAACAATTCTGTCAGAAAATACCAGATGAATTTTGTGCCCTGCATGATCTCCATCGAGGAGCGTAAAGAAGTTCCCAAGCTAGAAACATTCTATATAGGAATATATCAAAAGAACAATTCAAAACTGCTTTTGCAAGAATGGTGAAAGCCTGATCTTATTTTGGCAAAACTTCTCTTCATGCTCCAGTGTCAGAGCACTGGCAGTACTTAGTAGAGTTTTTTCTTCTCAGTAACAACTTTATGATCAGAGCGGTAAATTACTCTGAGTTACAGAGGAATATACCACAGCATGTTCTTATGTTCTATGATTCTGTGTTTGTTTGGTGCTCAAGCATGTATCAACTGAGGTGGAGAATGAGAAATCCTGCCTCCTGACTGAACAGGCTTCACTGCCTTTTACTACTGTTTACCACGAATAAAGCAGCACCTGTATTTCTCATAAAGAGAGGCCGCCTCCTGTGCTGCAGGTCATGTATCGCATGACATGTATTACTCTACTGTGACATATTTAAGAATTCAATAAATTTGGGCTCTGTTTCTGCCACCTTAATCTGCGTTTGGCGATACCTTTTTTGATTTGAATCACCCTGAATACCAAGGACTTCTGCAACACGACAGAATTACACTCTGCATTCACTTCTTAAATGAGAATGGGCTCAGGCGATGAAAGACATTTAATTTAAACTGCCCTTCTAATCAGTTACACCAAAGCTTTTGATCTAGAAGTGAAAGACAACAGTTTTGAAATATCCCAAGTTCATTCCTCTCATTTCTTTCTACGCTTAAATGAACAATCCAAGCTGGAAATCAAGAGCAATCAGCACCTTTGGATAAAATCCGAAGTGCTGCTGTATATGTGGGTACTCAGATCAGATACTTCTTGGTGTAACTGTGAAGAAAACCCACTCAATCCTCCAAAATCATTCTTCTGCTACAAAGGACAGATGTTTCTGAAGGAAGTACGTGCACAATGTTGTATCATTTGGGGGTGCAAAGATCTCTATTATTTGGGTGAAGCATGTGTCTGCTTCAGAAATTGCAATTATTATGTTACTCACTCTTGTAGCCAGAACTATTACACCACTAAGAGAAGGGGGATTTTTATTCTTTTTTTTTTTTTTTTTAATAAGCATTTGACTTCTGGCAGCACTGACCTGGAGTGTAAAATGCCAAGTTGGCAGCTTTCGGAAAGGGAAATTTCAGTAAGTTGGGATGGTCTCTTTGGGCTCATATTTCATGCAGTTCTTTTTCCATGTGCCTGTATCCCTAGCTTACCAGCAGCAGCTCTTACCTACAGCTTTGTTTCTTATTTTACATTTTATTAACTTCATTTTTTCAGCCCTAGCATCGTATTTTACCCTTCAGGTATTCATTGTAAAGTTCTGTCAGCCTTCTCTTTCCCTGAAACGTGTAACAGTCCAGTGGTGGCAGATTCTAGCATGTGCACCTTTCAAATTTTGACTCTCACCATGTCAGGCTGTCTCACACTGTAAGGAGTCCAGATTTGGTGGCAGCCACATACCTTGTGCTCACTCCCCACAACCCTGGTTAGGTTATACTAACATTTTGCATTAGAAAATCCCCTGACAAATCTAGCAATGCTTTTCTTTACAGAAAATATAATTCTCTTACTGACAGTGGTATTTTGAAGAACAGGAACTGGATTAGGCTGCTCTAGAGACAAATCAATTAAGAGTTGATTTTAGCTGATAATAAAATACCTCTTGAAGTCGTGGACGCTTAGCAATGATAAACCCGTCTCTCTAACAATGAGTAAAGGAGATGAAGTTTGCAATTCTGATAAATGACTTACAAGCATCAAGACTCAGTGCAGGTAACTAATTACAAGTCTGTGATGAAAGGGGGAGCAGAGGGAATTTCCTGCACTGTTTCTTTACTGGTTATTACTGTGTGACTACAAATGGTTCTGTTGAACAGCCTCACTGGAATGCTCACTCCCATGAACGTGGTGTTGGCACGGGGTTACAGTGACTATTGTGAGATGAACAGATCAGAGGGGACATGCCAAGTGCACCTACCTTCCATTGACACCAAAACAGAGTTGACATATTCCATGCAACACTGCTGTGGCACTTTGTAGAAAAGTTGCTATTTTGGGATTCTCATCAACAGGGCCTTGAACAGAGAGGAAACAGCAGCACAGCTTGTCTATCAGTCCTATGTTCACCACGTAACTGGAAACAGAGGAAAAATGGTATTAAAAAACCCAGTCCTGTGCCGCTTTTGATAACTTTGCAAAGGAAGTAATTTCTGCCTCTCTGCTATCATGCCATACAAAATGCAGGTTGTGATTACTTCTATACTCTTTCTGAAAGCGTTCAATAAACAAGTCAGCTTACACTAACTTAAGATCTGGCTCTCTGTAACTATCAGTAGTTTCTGTTAAGAGACCTGTCTGTTGTAGGACAATCTGTATTATACCGTACAAGAAAGATGAGTGTAAATGTTTATTTTACCATACTCCTAGAAGGACAATGGAATTTTGCCATAGTTAAATGATTTATAATAATCGTGGTAGCTCTGCAACAGCACAACTTCTTTTTAGCATGAAGAGAGAAACTTTGGAGAACACGCTAATTGAAGAAGACAATGTTACCCAGACAATATTTTACTGCAATACATGTATCATAAGAACTTACAGCCTGTTGGTTGGTTGGGTTTTTTTCATTTTTAAAATATATGCCACAATTAAGAGACCAACAGAACATGCAGGTAACAACCTTCTACCATCATTACAGGAGAATCGGGATCGGGAAGCCTCCTCAGGAGCTCAACCAAAACTCAGTGCAGAGAAAAGCACGCTAGGGACTTCTGGTTTTTTATTTTAACTGAAAGATCCACTTCCTTTTTTATTATCAGAGCAGGTCAGATCACCATGGCTGATCAACAGATCACCACTGCTGATGCCACTCCTTTGAATTTGCCATTCTGTCTACTTGCTTGTCAAGTCCATTTGTTGGGGACTGCCTCTTAGAGCCCAGACTTCTTGAGATGGGAGCACCACTAGCTGTATGTTTCCATAATTCCAAAACCATCCTGACTTGACGAAGTATGGGACATTACCAAATAATAGTCATTCCAGTCAATAAAGAATAGTGATTATATAGTGCTTGGCACAGGAAGTGTGCAAGTATTTATTAAAATATCAAAAATTTCATCACATGGGAATCACAATCTTACAGTCTGATTTTGGGAAACCAGGGATCTTTAAGATTAAGGAAGAAAACTTCCCCAGTTTTCAGACACTGTTGTTGCTCAAAGACTAAGCTCTTGTCAGGGTTAGAAGCTAGAGTTTCTGCCAGAGTCCACCCTGCTGACACAAAGCTTTTGGAAGCAATGAAAGTAATTAAGAATAAAAATACGCTGGATATAAAGCAAGAAGTCTAACTGCAGAATGAAAGATTATTAAAGCTGCTGAAGTATAGCAGTTAAAACCAAAGACATACAGAGGTTCTTAATTGCACACTTATTGCTCGGGTAAGTTTGTCTGTTCTATTTAACAACATAAAGGTTACCAGCATTAGGTTACTCAGATTTTGATCTGAGCAATTCACCTGATCATACAGGTGATAAGCAAGCTCTCCTGTGTTAGCAGAGTAGTTCCAGGAAGAGAGCTGGCTGTTAGATACATCACAGTCACAGAGAAATCTCTCTGTGAAAAAGGAGGGGCGAGGAAGACATAGGTAAGATACAGCTAATACTGACAGATGAGAATTCAAAAAAAGGCACAACCATTCTCATCAATATTCTCTTCCTTTTTCCCTACAAACATCCCTGTGGTTTGACTGACACCTGCAAAACGTCTTCACTGTCCCCCTTCCTTCACAGCCTCACCTGGATACAAAGTGGCTGCTCTTTTGGCAGGGAAGAAATGGATGAGAGCTCCCAGTCTGCTGGGACTGTTCATTAATGGCATCCGGAGACAATGAGAAAGAGCATGGAGCACTCCCTTTCTTGAGGAACTGAGCATGCAGACAAGTGGAATGTCAAAGCTCTCTAATCTACTGCTTCCATCTCCCAGGCTTTTTACTCATGGTAGCATAGCTGAAATAATTTGGCTGCCCCTCTGATACGGAGACAGCATGTAGACAATTGTTTATACATCAGGTCTAGTAGCCCCAAATAGAAACTAAAAAAATATTCAACTTTCCTCTTTCTTCTCCCATCTTCCTAAAACTCTCGTTTAATCAATTCCCCAAAGACATATGATACAATGACCTGGAGGTGAAAGATTCTCGTTAATAATAGAATTTGTCTGGTTTTGACTAGTTTAAAATGCCCTCCCTCTTTTTTTCCTAATTGTGCTATTACCTTGTCATCATGCCTTTCATTCTCCATTTATAACTAGATCCCCTAAAGTGCCTCAGGTGAGGGACCTAGCTGGATTCTCATGTATCTTCTTATCTTAAGGGTATGCCTGTGCTTGGCCAACTCAGTGTCAGATGTCTGTTCAGCACAAATATCAATAAGCAGACCTCCCACCCTCCCATTCACAAATGGGGAGAATACACATCCTGAAATTTCACACTCTATCAAAACCTGTTTGGGGAGAAGGCAGGTTACCTGAGAACAGGAAAGTTTGAGAGGTCACTGGTATCTATGACAACTATTTGCTTTCCTTCTCTAGCTGTCTTTTTTGCATCTATCAGCATCACACCGGACTTTGAAAAGTCTGAAGATACTCACTGGGACACATTTTCAGTGACATATAGTAAGAATTTCATTTCTTCAGAGGGCTGATATCTATGTAATTTACTAGAAAAACTATATACTTGTAGCAAGCATAATATATTGTTGGATATGTATTACTTTTATATATAATATACTAAATATATA